AATGAATGTACAGCAGACGGAATGAATGTACAGCAGACGGAATGAATGTACAGCAGACGGAATGAATGTACAGCAGACGGAATGAATGCTACAGCAGACGGAATGAATGCACAGCAGACGGAATGAATGTACAGCAGACGGAATGAATGTACAGCAGACGGAATGAATGTACAGCAGACGGAATGAATGTACAGCAGACGGAATGAATGTACAGCAGACGGAATGAATGTACAGCAGACGGAATGAATGTACAGCAGACGGAATGAATGTACAGCAGACGGAATGAATGTACAGCAGACGGAATGAATGTACAGCAGACGGAATGAATGTACAGCAGACGGAATGAATGTACAGCAGACGGAATGAATGTACAGCAGACGGAATGAATGTACAGCAGACGGAATGAATGTACAGCAGACGGAATGAATGTACAGCAGACGGAATGAATGTACAGCAGACGGAATGAATGTACAGCAGACGGAATGAATGTACAGCAGACGGAATGAATGTACAGCAGACGGAATGAATGTACAGCAGACGGAATGAATGTACAGCAGACGGAATGAATGTACAGCAGACGGAATGAATGTACAGCAGACGGAATGAATGTACAGCAGACGGAATGAATGTACAGCAGACGGAATGAATGTACAGCAGACGGAATGAATGTACAGCAGACGGAATGAATGTACAGCAGACGGAATGAATGTACAGCAGACGGAATGAATGTACAGCAGACGGAATGAATGTACAGCAGACGGAATGAATGTACAGCAGACGGAATGAATGTACAGCAGACGGAATGAATGTACAGCAGACGGAATGAATGTACAGCAGACGGAATGAATGTACAGCAGACACAGCAGACGGAATGAATGTACAGCAGACGGAATGAATGTACAGCAGACGGAATGAATGTACAGCAGACGGAATGAATGTACAGCAGACGGAATGAATGTACAGCAGACGGAATGAATGCACAGCAGACGGAATGAATGTACAGCAGACGGAATGAATGTACAGCAGACGGAATGAATGTACAGCAGACGGAATGAATGTACAGCAGACGGAATGAATGTACAGCAGACGGAATGAATGTACAGCAGACGGAATGAATGTACAGCAGACGGAATGAATGTACAGCAGACGGAATGAATGTACAGCAGACGGAATGAATGTACAGCAGACGGAATGAATGTACAGCAGACGGAATGAATGTACAGCAGACGGAATGAATGTACAGCAGACGGAATGAATGTACAGCAGACGGAATGAATGTACAGCAGACGGAATGAATGTACAGCAGACGGAATGAATGTACAGCAGACGGAATGAATGTACAGCAGACGGAATGAATGTACAGCAGACGGAATGAATGTACAGCAGACGGAATGAATGTACAGCAGACGGAATGAATGTACAGCAGACGGAATGAATGTACAGCAGACGGAATGAATGTACAGCAGACGGAATGAATGTACAGCAGACGGAATGAATGTACAGCAGACGGAATGAATGTACAGCAGACGGAATGAATGTACAGCAGACGGAATGAATGTACAGCAGACGGAATGAATGTACAGCAGACGGAATGAATGTACAGCAGACGGAATGAATGTACAGCAGACGGAATGAATGTACAGCAGACGGAATGAATGTACAGCAGACGGAATGAATGTACAGCAGACGGAATGAATGTACAGCAGACGGAATGAATGTACAGCAGACGGAATGAATGTACAGCAGACGGAATGAATGTACAGCAGACGGAATGAATGTACAGCAGACGGAATGAATGTACAGCAGACGGAATGAATGTACAGCAGACGGAATGAATGTACAGCAGACGGAATGAATGTACAGCAGACGGAATGAATGTACAGCAGACGGAATGAATGTACAGCAGACGGAATGAATGTACAGCAGACGGAATGAATGTACAGCAGACGGAATGAATGTACAGCAGACGGAATGAATGTACAGCAGACGGAATGAATGTACAGCAGACGGAATGAATGTACAGCAGACGGAATGAATGTACAGCAGACGGAATGAATGTACAGCAGACGGAATGAATGTACAGCAGACGGAATGAATGTACAGCAGACGGAATGAATGTACAGCAGACGGAATGAATGTACAGCAGACGGAATGAATGTACAGCAGACGGAATGAATGTACAGCAGACGGAATGAATGTACAGCAGACGGAATGAATGTACAGCAGACGGAATGAATGTACAGCAGACGGAATGAATGTACAGCAGACGGAATGAATGTACAGCAGACGGAATGAATGTACAGCAGACGGAATGAATGTACAGCAGACGGAATGAATGTACAGCAGACGGAATGAATGTACAGCAGACGGAATGAATGTACAGCAGACGGAATGAATGTACAGCAGACGGAATGAATGTACAGCAGACGGAATGAATGTACAGCAGACGGAATGAATGTACAGCAGACGGAATGAATGTACAGCAGACGGAATGAATGTACAGCAGACGGAATGAATGTACAGCAGACGGAATGAATGTACAGCAGACGGAATGAATGTACAGCAGACGGAATGAATGTACAGCAGACGGAATGAATGTACAGCAGACGGAATGAATGTACAGCAGACGGAATGAATGTACAGCAGACGGAATGAATGTACAGCAGACGGAATGAATGTACAGCAGACGGAATGAATGTACAGCAGACGGAATGAATGTACAGCAGACGGAATGAATGTACAGCAGACGGAATGAATGTACAGCAGACGGAATGAATGTACAGCAGACGGAATGAATGTACAGCAGACGGAATGAATGTACAGCAGACGGAATGAATGTACAGCAGACGGAATGAATGTACAGCAGACGGAATGAATGTACAGCAGACGGAATGAATGTACAGCAGACGGAATGAATGTACAGCAGACGGAATGAATGTACAGCAGACGGAATGAATGTACAGCAGACGGAATGAATGTACAGCAGACGGAATGAATGTACAGCAGACGGAATGAATGTACAGCAGACGGAATGAATGTACAGCAGACGGAATGAATGTACAGCAGACGGAATGAATGTACAGCAGACGGAATGAATGTACAGCAGACGGAATGAATGTACAGCAGACGGAATGAATGTACAGCAGACGGAATGAATGTACAGCAGACGGAATGAATGTACAGCAGACGGAATGAATGTACAGCAGACGGAATGAATGTACAGCAGACGGAATGAATGTACAGCAGACGGAATGAATGTACAGCAGACGGAATGAATGTACAGCAGACGGAATGAATGTACAGCAGACGGAATGAATGTACAGCAGACGGAATGAATGTACAGCAGACGGAATGAATGTACAGCAGACGGAATGAATGTACAGCAGACGGAATGAATGTACAGCAGACGGAATGAATGTACAGCAGACGGAATGAATGTACAGCAGACGGAATGAATGTACAGCAGACGGAATGAATGTACAGCAGACGGAATGAATGTACAGCAGACGGAATGAATGTACAGCAGACGGAATGAATGTACAGCAGACGGAATGAATGTACAGCAGACGGAATGAATGTACAGCAGACGGAATGAATGTACAGCAGACGGAATGAATGTACAGCAGACGGAATGAATGTACAGCAGACGGAATGAATGTACAGCAGACGGAATGAATGTACAGCAGACGGAATGAATGTACAGCAGACGGAATGAATGTACAGCAGACGGAATGAATGTACAGCAGACGGAATGAATGTACAGCAGACGGAATGAATGTACAGCAGACGGAATGAATGTACAGCAGACGGAATGAATGTACAGCAGACGGAATGAATGTACAGCAGACGGAATGAATGTACAGCAGACGGAATGAATGTACAGCAGACGGAATGAATGTACAGCAGACGGAATGAATGTACAGCAGACGGAATGAATGTACAGCAGACGGAATGAATGTACAGCAGACGGAATGAATGTACAGCAGACGGAATGAATGTACAGCAGACGGAATGAATGTACAGCAGACGGAATGAATGTACAGCAGACGGAATGAATGTACAGCAGACGGAATGAATGTACAGCAGACGGAATGAATGTACAGCAGACGGAATGAATGTACAGCAGACGGAATGAATGTACAGCAGACGGAATGAATGTACAGCAGACGGAATGAATGTACAGCAGACGGAATGAATGTACAGCAGACGGAATGAATGTACAGCAGACGGAATGAATGTACAGCAGACGGAATGAATGTACAGCAGACGGAATGAATGTACAGCAGACGGAATGAATGTACAGCAGACGGAATGAATGTACAGCAGACGGAATGAATGTACAGCAGACGGAATGAATGTACAGCAGACGGAATGAATGTACAGCAGACGGAATGAATGTACAGCAGACGGAATGAATGTACAGCAGACGGAATGAATGTACAGCAGACGGAAGGAATGTACAGCAGATGGAATGAATGTACAGCAGACGGAATGAATGTACAGCAGACGGAATGAATGTACAGCAGACGGAATGAATGTACAGCAGACGGAATGAATGTACAGCAGACGGAATGAATGTACAGCAGACGGAATGAATGTACAGCAGACGGAATGAATGTACACCAGACAGAATGAATGCACAGCAGACGGAATGAATGTACAGCAGACGGAATGAATGTACAGCAGACGGAATGAATGTACAGCAGAAACCGGTTGGCTGGGGTTTCCGCACTGAAACCGGTCTGCACCGCACTGGCCCATACGTCCCCTCCAGGATGGGTACTGACCCGTTGAAAATCACGACCCTCTCCTTTCCAAACATCTCCTCCACTGCCTCCAGCAGCCCTTCAAACCCCACCATCTTCCTTGTATTCCCCGGGCGTCTCGCCACCACCACCACCCAGTCTGCTGGTAACACAGCAGCGCGCGCGTCGGACCACGGGCCAAGGGAGTGGAGGTGTGGGCTGGCAGCTGGTTGGGGTTCAGGCACTGAAACCGGTCTACTCCGCACTGGACCGCACATAGGACGTACCTTCCAGGATGGGTATCGAGCCGTTGAAAACGACGACCCTGTCCTTCCCAAACATCCCTTCCACTGCTTCCAGCAGCCCTTCGAACCCCACCATCTTCCTTGTATTCCCCGGCCGCCTCGCCATCACCACCACCCAGTTTGATGGCAGCACAGCAGCCCGCGCGTCGGACCACGGGCCGGGGGAGTGGGCGCGGAGGCGCCAGGGGGAGGAGAAGAGAGGCAGGCCGTCGGGGGGGAGGAGGTAGTTGAGGCGCAGGTGGCGCCACAGGCTGGGGCTGGGCTTGCCGCATCCCTGGTACACGGGCTGTTGGGGGGTTGAAGGGGGGGGGGGGAGTGGGGGGAGGGGAGGGGAGGGCGGGAAGAGAAAGAAGGAGAAGAGGGGCAGGCTGTCAGGAGGGAGGAGGTAGTTGAGGCGCAGATGGCGCCACAGGCTGGGGCTGAGCTTGCCGCAGCCTTGGTACACGGGCTGTGGAGGGGAGGAGAGGGGGAGAGGGGGGGAAGAGAACAGATGGGGGAAACGGGGGAAAGACAGGGGGGAGGAGGAGTTGAGACACAGGTGGCGCCACAGGCTGGGGCTGGGCTTGCCGCAGCCTTGGTACACGGGCTGTGGGGGGGAGTGGGGGGGGAAGAGGGTAATACAATGAATAATGGAGCACACAGCACCGCACAGTACTGCACAGCACCGCACAGAACCGACCTGGTAGACAACATCAGCGTGGATGAGCTTGGAGCAGTGTGTGTCCTCCACCACTATCAGGTTCATCTGAGTCGTCCTGATAAACAGCACAGCACTGGATCGCACCGCACAGCACCACACAGTACCTGGTAGACAACGTCGGCGTGAATGAGCTTGGAGCGGTGTGTGTCCTCCACCACTGTCAGGTTCATCTTTAAAGGGCCTTCTACTGGAACATCAGCACCGCACAGAACCACACCGTACCTGGTAGACAACATCAGCGTGAATGAGCTTGGAGCGGTGCGTGTCCTCCACCACTATCAGGTTCATCTGTGTCGTCTCCAGACCCACCAGGTGCTTCACCATCTCGTTGTAGAAGGCCAGCTTGTAACGAGTACAACCAGGGAAGGGCAGGACAGGCAGGACAGGCAGGCAGGCACAGAAAAGAGAAGGGAAGAGAGATTTGAGATTGCTGAACGAATAGCCTAGCTGTTTTGTCCACCAATTGCGTGTCATGTACAGAAATTTCATCCCCCTTGTGTGTGCGTAAGTGCATCCCCGTTTAAGCCTCCTTCCATTACAAAGGCATGTGAATTACCAGCAAAAATGTGGGTGCGTTGGTGCGTCTTGTTTTAGTTGTTGTTAACGAGAAGAGTTCCAGCGACCTGACTCTCGGTTTTTTGCTAGTGTTATAGCTTTACACGCTTTTCCTACTTGCTTAAACCTAGCTCCTAAGCATCCCAGCTCACTGGAAGAATGGCACAAGGTCTGCATACCTGGCACAAGGTCTGCATACCTGGAACAAGGTCTGCATACCTGGCACAAGGTCTGCATACCTGGCACAAGGTCTGCATACCTGGCTGCGGCGGAAGAGGATGGGGATGTCAGGGTTGGCGCGCAGCAGGTCAGCGAGCATGAGGAACTGGGGGAAGAACTCCACGAGCGAGTGGTAGAATGCCACTGCATGGTTGTACGCGAGTGACACCACCCGGTGCAGCTTCATCACCTGGGACTCCCCTGCCTTGTAGTCAAACTGGTGTAGGCGGGGTTGGGCGGGATGGGGACAGAGAGCATGAGGAAGGAACTGGGGGAAGAACGCCACGAGGGAGTGGTAGAAGGCGAATGCATGGTTGTACGCGAGTGACACCACCCGGTGCAGCTTCATCACCTGCGCTTCCCCTGCCTTGTAGTCAAACTGATGGAGGGTAGGGGTTCGGGTGGGGTTGGTAGCGGTGGAGTGGGGTGGGCAGAAGCAGGGTGATGGCTCAAAGCAAGTCAGCGAGCATGAGGAACTGGGGGAAGAACTCCAGGAGTGAGTGGTCGAAGGCCACTGCATGGTTGTATGCGAGGGACACCACCAGGTGCAGCTTCATCCCCTGGGATTCCCCTGCCTTGTAGTCAAACTGGTGGGGGGGTGGGAGGTAGGGTGGCGGAGAGAGAAGGAAGGAGGGGTTGTGGTGTGGAGTGGTAGGATGTGCGGTGCTGTGTGGTGTACTTGTATGCCAGGGAGGGCACTGTGCCCCCCATTCTTTCCATCTCCCCTCGTTCATAAAACCCCCATGCCACAATACCCCCACTCACTCTCTCTCCCCCCTTAGCGCACCTCCAGGTCTCGGAAGCACCAATGGCAGTTTAAGTGCCGGAAGCGGTTGAACACAGCATGTTGATCCCCCCAAGATCCCCCCAATTTACCCAACCCCCCTCCACCCCTCTAATCCCCCAGCGCACCTCCAGGTCTCGGAAGCACCAATGGCAGTTTAAGTGCCGGAAGCGGTTGAACACAACATGTTGATCCCCCCAAGATCCCCCCAATTTACCCAACCCCCCTCCACCCCTCTAATCCCCCAGTGCACCTCCAGGTCTCGGAAGCACCCATGGCAGTCGAAGTGCAAGGAGCAGTTGAACACAATAAGTTGGTCCCCCAAATATGCCCCCATCTTGCCCCCCTCCCCCCCCCCCCGCCATCATCCCCCCAACGCACATCTCCCCCTCCCAATCCCCCCAGCGCACCTCGAGGTCTCGAAAGCAGCCGTGGCGGTCGAAGTGCAGGGAGCGGTTGAAGACAAGCCCATTGACATTGATGAACATGCCGCGCAGCTCAAACAGCTGAAACACCATCGCATCATGCCAGTGGTGGTCCGTCTTGTGCGTGCATCTCGGATCCGCCCCAAGCTCCCCCGACTCGTTCGCGTGCGACAATTTCGGGCAGTTTTCCGGCTGGTCCGGGCGGTAGTAAATTTCGTCGGCGAATTCCGGGCGGAAGCAGGCGCGCACGGTCGGGAAGGAGTCCCCGCAGGAGCCGAAGTTCGGGCAGGGTTCGCCCATGCAGCGAAGTTTCACTTGCCCGGGGTAGATTGTTTTGTGGTAGTTGAGAAACGAGTCATTCAGGTCGGTGCGCTTTATGCTCTTATCGAGTGGTACTGTAGCGAGTATGCCTTCTCGAGCGGATGTTACAGAGGCCACACTGCAGGGACCAGCGGAAAGGACAGAGGGGAAGGGGGAGAGGGGAGGAGCAGAGGGGTAGGGAGAGAGGAGAAGAAGGAGAGGGACGCACAGGCGAGCACCATTTTAGCAGAGCAGAATATAATTTACTACGGCCGTGACTCACTTCAGTAGGGCATAGTATATTATTTAATACCGCCTTGACTCACTTCAGATGTTACTCAAATCACCACTTTACCATTGCACTCTCCTCCTTCCGCTGCACCCTCCCCCCTCCATCGTATCGCAACCCACCCACTCCCACAGCTCTCGCCTCACTCTCACCTGCTGCCCGCTGCCATGCGCTTGGCAATGATCGCCTCTGCCTGTTCCACGTGCTGCAGCAATGCCTGCGCCATGATCATGGCTCTGGGAGGAGAGCGGGAGGGGAAGAATGAAGGAGCATAGGAGACCTCGTACCCCTCAACACACTGCTCCACTCCACCCTCAAGCGCAATGAGCGCCTCTGCCTGCTCCACGTGCTGCAGTCATGCGTGCGCCAGGAGCATGGCGCTAAGGGAAGGAAGGGATCAATCAAACGAGAAGAAGAGGTCGAATGAGCTGAGTGTGTATGTCTACTGCAGAGGCCAATTAGCGTTCAGTTGACTAGTTGCTTTGCCCAGCCTCCATAAACGAGAAAACGAGCTGAGTGGACTTAGAAGGCCCTTGCTGATAGCTTCAAAGCGTGGGGGGGGAGGAGGAGGAGGTGGAGGAGGAGGAGGAGGAGGAGGAGGAGGAGGAGGAGGAGGAGGAGGAGGAGGAGGAGGAGGAGGAGGAGGAGGTGGAGGAGGAGGAGGAGGAGGAGGAGGAGGAGGAGGAGGAGGAGGAGGAGGAGGAGGAGGAGGAGGAGGAGGAGGAGTAGGAGGAGGAGGAGGAGGAGGAGGAGGAGGAGGAGGAGGAGGAGGAGGAGGAGGAGTAGGAGGAGGAGGAGGAGGAGGAGGAGGAGGAGGAGGAGGAGGAGGAGGAGGAGGAGGAGGAGGAGGAGGAGGAGTAGGAGGAGGAGGAGGAGGAGGAGGAGGAGGAGGAGGAGGAGGAGGAGGAGGAGGAGGAGGAGGAGGAGGAGGAGTAGGAGGAGGAGGAGGAGGAGGAGGAGGAGGAGGAGGAGGAGGAGGAGGAGGAGGAGGAGGAGGAGGAGGAGGAGGAGGAGGAGGAGGAGGAGGAGTAGGAGGAGGAGGAGGAGTAGGAGGAGGAGTAGGAGGAGGAGTAGGAGGAGGAGGAGGAGGAGTAGGAGGAGGAGGAGGAGGAGGAGGAGGAGGAGGAGGAGGAGGAGGAGGAGGAGGAGTAGGAGGAGGAGGAGGAGTAGGAGGAGGAGTAGGAGGAGGAGGAGGAGGAGGAGTAGGAGGAGGAGGAGGAGGAGGAGGAGGAGGAGGAGGAGGAGGAGGAGGAGGAGGAGGAGGAGGAGGAGGAGGAGGAGGAGGAGGAGTAGGAGGAGGAGGAGGAGTAGGAGGAGGAGTAGGAGGAGGAGGAGGAGGAGGAGTAGGAGGAGGAGGAGGAGGAGGAGGAGGAGGAGGAGGAGGAGGAGGAGGAGGAGGAGGAGGAGGAGGAGGAGTAGGAGGAGGAGGAGGAGTAGGAGGAGGAGTAGGAGGAGGAGGAGGAGGAGGAGGAGGAGGAGGAGGAGGAGGAGGAGGAGGAGGAGGAGGAGGAGGAGGAGGAGGAGGAGGAGGAGGAGGAGGAGGAGTAGGAGGAGGAGTAGGAGGAGGAGTAGGAGGAGGAGGAGGAGGAGGAGGAGGAGGAGGAGGAGGAGGAGGAGGAGGAGGAGGAGGAGGAGGAGGAGGAGGAGGAGGAGGAGGAGTAGGAGGAGGAGGAGGAGTAGGAGGAGGAGTAGGAGGAGGAGGAGGAGGAGGAGTAGGAGGAGGAGGAGGAGGAGGAGGAGGAGGAGGAGGAGGAGGAGGAGGAGTAGGAGGAGGAGGAGGAGGAGGAGTAGGAGGAGGAGGAGGAGGAGGAGGAGGAGGAGGAGGAGGAGGAGGAGGAGGAGTAGGAGGAGGAGGAGGAGGAGGAGTAGGAGGAGGAGGAGGAGGAGGAGGAGGAGGAGGAGGAGGAGGAGGAGGAGGAGGAGGAGGAGGAGGAGGAGGAGGAGGAGGAGGAGGAGGAGGAGGAGTATTGACATGTCTCCGAATCGTAAAAACAGGTTGACGCGAGGGAAGGGAAGGTGAGAGAAGGGACTCACTGGGTCGACAGGGTGGTGTTAGGCTGGGCTGCCATAGCCTCTACCAACCATCCCCACACTCCTCTCCACCTCGTCCCGTCCACCATCTGGCTCTTTATTCCTCTCAAGCGCAGCGCCGTCTCAAAATTCGACTCGAAAACCGTTCCTGCTTTTGAGGCGCCTCAAAAGCAAGCCTCTCCACCTCGTCCCGTCCACCTTCTGGCTCTTTATTCCTCTCGATCGCCGTCTCAAAAGTCGGCTTAAAAGCCGTTTCTGAAACGCAGACTCACCGCTCTGACAGGGTGGCGTTGGGCTGGGCAGCCATGGCCTCCACCAGCCCCACGCCCCTCTCCACCTCGTCCAATGGATCCGCCTCCGCTCCCTCTGCTATGGCCACCCTGGGATGATTGGGACGACGGGAGAAAGGTTGGATCCATCTCCATACTGCTTCCATCTCCATACTGCTTCCATCTCCATACTGCTTCCATCTCCATACTGCTTCCATCTCCATACTGCTTCCATCTCCATACTGCTTCCATCTCCATACTGCTTCCATCTCCATACTGCTTCCATCTCCTCTCTACCTCGTCCACTAGATCCGCCTCCGCTCCCTGTGCTATCAACAACCTGGGATCACTGGGACCCACAATATCACCTACACGAATTCACCCTCCTCTCATCCCCCTTTCATTCTCTCCCTCCCCCCTTAACCTCACTCACTCACCCCTTCGCCATCTGCTCGCTAAGAGCATTCTCCATCTCCATTAATGCGTCCAGCAGAACCGTGTCTTCTGCGTCCGCACCCACCTCAGCGACCTCCACCCCCATACCCTCTGCCCTCCCTTCCCCCATTCCTTCACCTTCCCCTCCCCCTCCCCTCTCCCTCTCACTCACCCCTTCTCCATCGGCTCACTAAGAGCATTCCTCATCTCCGTTGGTCCGTCCATCAGCACCGCTTCTTCCGCGTCGGGCCCTTCTCCCATCCTTCCCTTCCGCTCCCCCTTCCCTCTCGCCCTTACTCACCCCTTCGCCATCTGCTCGCTTAGGGCATTCCCCATCTACGTTAATGCGTCCAGCAGAACCGCGTCTTCCGCGTCCGGCCCCTTGGGCACCACCTCCCCCACCCCCTTCAATCAACGCTCCCTTCCCTTCCCTTACATTTCACCTCTCCCCCACACTCACCCTTTCTCCATCTGCTCGCTAAGAGTGGTTCCAATCTCTGTTAGTCGGTCCAGCAGCGCCGCGTCTTCCGCGTCCGGCCCCTTGGGCACCACCTCCGCGCCCTCAATCATCTCCGGCACTATGATTGGCTCATCTTCCGCTCCTGCAGCCGCTGCCACGTCAGCACCAGGAGAACAGAGCCGCGTCAGCCAGCCAGGCCAGGTCAGCGGAGGAATTTGAGCAAGGGCTGTACAGCCAAGACGGACTTTACAGCACATGCTCACAGCACATGCTCACAGCACATGCTCACAGCACATATTACAGGACACGAATCTTGAAGGTGTGTTTTGAGTGGACTCTCAGAACACACACGGTTACCGCTGCAGCACTGGTAGGGACTCCGTTGAGTCGCCATTTTACGACTTAATATGAACCCAGCTGGGTCAGGCCTTTTGAGGCGCCTCAAAAGTTGTCTCCCTTGAGTCTCCACTTCACGACTTAATGTGAACCACGCTGGGTAAGGCAAATGCCAGCGGCGCAGCGCGCACGCCCTACAAACGTCTGACAGAAACACTTATGAGCCGTTGCAGCGGTACGATCTCCTAGACACGCTGCAGTGCCTTTTTAGTCGATTTATAAAGAGTTACTAATGAGTCGTTGCAGCGCTACGATCTCCTAACGCGCTGCAGTGCTAGCAAGGACTCCCGAGCGTCTCCCATTTACAATATGACAGTAAGTGTCTGATTACAGTATGAACCAAGCTGGTACTCGGCCAATGCCAGTTCGCATTTCGAATCAGTTCAAAGGACGTCTTTCGAGGCTTCTAATAAGGAGGATCAAGCTGGCAATCAACGAGTGCCGGCCTTACGAACACGCAACGGTCAGTGATTGCTCTTACGCGCCAGACGAACGGCGACGATGAAGCAGAGAAGAGCGAGCGGGACCGCGGAGAAGCGCGCCGATCCCATCGCGGAAGGAGTTCCCGCACTACGTTATCAGGCTCATAAGACGGCTCAAACGCCGGTCAGCAGCTAACGGCTGACGGTCAGCAGCAGGCTATGCTCTTAAGGCGCCTAGAATGACGGTCAGAAGCAGGGTATGCACGGCCGCGTTGTCACTAGAAGCGTAAGGGCCTGGGTATTGCGAATGCGGAAGTGGTGCACGCATGTCCCGCGCTAAGGACGCGTTGAAAGTGCAAATATCGCAGGTTCGTCTGCCTATATCGATCCCCACAATCGAGTGGGCAGATCGTTTGGCGAAACGTGGCGACCGCGACGTTGTAACGATCGCGGCTGAAAATTGACAGATTTCCCGCGAACAGTGATCAGTCGCATTCTCACACTGTCCAGAAATTTTGGCCAGAAAGCGAACTGTAGCATAGTTACAACGTAGTTAATAGGGTAACCGATCCGCACATCGATCGCTACAGACCGTCGTTCGTCTACTTTCACCGCGTCCTAATCCTACTGATCGTAAAACCACAACTGCGGCGGTACCCGCTACTGGAGTTCTGATTATACTTGAAGTTGTGCACAGCAAATTGAGTTACAATAACTTTCGTAGCATAACAATTTTTGCTTTCTGAACAAGAAAAACAGCTTATTTCATCCTAAACATACAGACGATATGTCTACAGTTACTGTGTCATGTTTAGTCAAAGATAAGATCATCCACGATGATGGCACCTCGAGAATGCATGAAATATAGACCCAAGTGATGGGTGGCATCCTGTGGCCAACGAACGTATAGCAATTCAAGGAAAGAGACAAGGGCGTGCCGGGCTTGTGAAAGCAAGATATTACTACGCTGAAACACAATCGATTTGTGTCAGACATGCACAGAAAAGAGGCTATGATAATATTTGAAAGAATGAAAGAGGCTATGATAATATTCTGTAACAATGGGCCATTGGCACTGTAGCATCGACACTGTACCTGAGGATGCGATGCAGTGGCGCCCCTCCCAAGGCTCTCAGCAACGGGCCGGGGCAGGTTGTATGTGGAGCAGGCAGGAGCAACTACCACAATTTCCTTTAGCTGCTGCCCAAACAACCCGTGGTTTCGGGCAGACAGTGCGGTCAGCACGAAATCCATGACGCAAATGTCTGTGCAGATGCCAACCACGATAATCTGCAACGCAGGTAGATGGGTGAGGAGGAGCAGCAAGTATGTATGAGAACATACTGAGATTAGGGGCTCAAGTGGAGGAGGGAGTGGAGAGGCTTGGGGAAACAGGATAGAAAGAAATTAGGGTAAATGCAGCAGAGGGGAGTGTGGAGGGAGGAGTGGAGAGGAGGAGGGCGAGTGCAATAATGTGGGGGAGAAAAGAAGTGTACATGTTCTAGTTGGTGCTTGATCACCCATTGCGTCACAATGTTTGTCCCATCCGGTTGCATGCCGCCCACAAACCCGTTAATACAGTCCTTCTCCATTAGAGTCACACTGCCTCTGGTCACACGAGCATCAGCATCAGCTGCTGCTGCAGCGGCTTCTCCTCCCCTGCTCGCTTCCTTCTCAAGCCACGCCAGAGCTGCAAGGGACATACAGACAAGCAGGGCAAAGAAATTTTGAGGTGCATTGAGACAGGCTAAGAATGGAATCTGGTCTAGGAAAGGCAAAGGAATTTTGAGGTGCATTAAGAGGCAAGGCTGCTAGCTGCATTGGGCATGGATGGGCAGAAAGCTTAAGAATAACATAAGTGCGGAGGGTTGATTGCAGGAAGAGAAGAGAAGAGGAACAGACAGCAAGTAGGATAATGGAAGCAAGAGACAGCACAGTCACACATCATACAGTCACTCACCCTCTACCAGCTTACATTCCCTGTGTCTCGCAGGTATGAAGGCTCTGGCTTTTCTGCTAAGGTACCCACTAACTCGCCAAAAATAAACCCCCCATACAGTCACTCGCGCTGTCACAACTCACCCTCTACGATCTTCTCCTCCCCTGTGCCTCGCACACAATGGGGGGGGTACGGTGGCTCTGGCTTGTCTGAGCTCCCATGAGTCACCTCTTACAATCACACACCATACAGTCACTCACCCTCTTTACCAGCTTCTACTCCCCTGTCCCTCGCACGCAGTGGGGGGGGTACGGTGGCTCGCTTGTTAAAGTTTTCATTAGTCACCTCCAATAGTCACACGCACATTGAGGTCACACACCATACAATCACTCACCCTCTACCAGCTTCTCATCCCCTGTCCCTCGCACGCAGTGGGGGGGGTACGGTGGCTCTGGCTTGTTAGAGTTCTCACTAGTCACCTCCAATAGTCACACACCCTACATTCACTCACCCTCTACCATTTTCTCTTCCCCCGTGTCTCGCACACAGTGTCGGGGGGGTACGGTTGCTCTGGCTTGTCTGAATACATTGGTCTCCCTTCATACGGTCACACATCATACAGTCACTCACCCTCTACCAACTTCTCCTCCCCCGTGCCTCGCACGCAGTGCGGGGGATACGGTGGCTCTGGCTTGTCTGCCTCGTGGGTGTCCAGGAAGGCCAGTACAGGCATGCCACGTGTCAGCATGTCATTGGCCAGCGAGGATGTTCGCGACACCATGGTCTCTATCTGCTCGTCTCTGACAGGAGGGGCCTTTGGAAAGAGATAGCGGGAAAGGAGGCGTGATTGTAAAGGGGATAGGAGGGGGAGAGGAGTGGGAGGGATGGGGAAAAGGAAGAGAAAGGGATTGGATGAGCGGGATAGAAGGGAGGCGGATGCGGCGTTGAAAGAGAGAGGGACAGTGTGTAACAAGGCACCGGACACGAAATGGAAGATGAATAATCTTGAAGCACTAACTCCTACCCTACTCATTCAGCCCGTCCCTCCCCCCACTCACCAGGCTCCCCACGCCTGGAGTGCAGAAGCCGTGGGCCTGTACCAACCAAAATCATTCTGACTTTTCATCTACCTCTATTCACTAGATTCCCTGCGCGGCTGCCTCTCTTTCCGCCTCTCCCTCCCCCGCTCACAAAATTCCCCGCGCCAGGAGTGCAGAAGCCGTTGACTTCATCCACTATCACCAATCCCACGCGCACATATTGAGTCGACTCAAGGTGGAAACCTGCGCCTCCCCTTCCCGCTCCGCCCACTCACCAGATTCAACTGAATCGACTCAAGGCGGGTTAACCCGCCTCTCACTCCGCCCACTCACCAGATTCCCCGCGCCGGGAGTGCAAAAGCCGTTGACTTCATCCACGATCACCAATCCCACGCGCGAATCCCGCGCGATGCGGAACTTCCCGGATTCTACGGGGAGGTGCTGACGTAGCGCTGACATTAGCATGGCTTCGTCAGGAACAGCCATTCTGAGGCGCGATGGATGGCAGCAGCGAAGGAAGGTGGAACTTACAAGTTACGAGATTCCGCTACTACAGTACAAGTTCACACGAGAAAGACGGAAGGAGGGAGAGAGGTCCGTTATTAAAAAACAGAATCGCGATACGAGCGTAATGCAATCGTGTATTCCATTGTTGGCCTGGATTCATTGCCTTGCATCAGTAACAACACCTCGCAGACTGGGAACAAAGTTCATCCCCAGTGGTTTTTTTGCAAGCCATTTAGCGAAACGTTGAATGGTTCGCTTTACAATTTCTTATCCACGAAATTACCTCCAAACACGCAACGGCAGGGTTACAGCGTAATCAGCGAACGTCTTCGACAAGTGGATCTTCAAGGGACCAAGTTTGATAGGGTCGGGGATGACCCTACAAAAGCACTCGTGTTGGGTAGCTTGCTTCTTCGGCTCTTTCACGTAATCACGAGAGCATGCGCAATTGGTAGTTCCTCCGTTGTCCTGAAAACCCCTCAAGTTGCAACATTTGCTCTTTTTCTACGACATCCTCGCTTGACATTAGTCTGATTTTCTCGCCAGTGTCTCCTAGAACCTGCTCAACCCCTAAAATCGTCTCACACGCGATGCGTCCTGTCTCTCTTGCCGAAATGAGTCACCTGCTCGCGGTGTCACCAGGCGGTCGACTGCTCGGATTGGACGTAGGGACCGCGCTTGTTGGTGTCGCCGTCTCCGACGCCGCAAATCGAGTGGCATCGCCTCTGCCTGTCGCCAACAGGCGATGGCAGAGGAGGAAGGAGCAAGGTGACGCCAGCGTCAGCAGCAGCAATGGCGGGAGTGGGTTTGGGACTGATGACGGATCCGTAGGCGGCGGTGGCAACGGAGATGTGGGGGAAGCAAGAAACGGCGATGCAGCTGCTTTTGAGGAGAGTCAGAATCGTAATGCAGACAGCAGTGTGCAGAAAATATCTGCATTTTCTAGCCCGAGCCACAAAGCTTCCAGCCCTTCGAGCAGCAACAGCAGCACCAGCAGCAACTATAGTAGACCCGCCAACACTCATCTTTCTTCAATGGCTCAAACCCTCCGAAACCGGCCCGTTTCATTGAGAATGCTTGACTCCATTGCTCGCTCTCGCTCCGTTGTTGGCATGGTTGTGGGGTTTCCCTTAGAGCTGTTCGGAGGGCGCTCCAACATGACGCCTGTGATTCAGGACTTTCTGTCTGGGGACATTGCCAGACACTGCCCCTACCTCCATAGTGTTCCACACTTGCTGTGGGATGAGAGGCTTTCTACTGCATCGGCAACAGGGGTTCTTCAGGGGCTTGGTTTGCACGCTGTGTTGGAGAAGCAGCTAACAGACAAGATATCTGCAGTGTATATTCTGCAAGGCTGTTTGGACGCTATGGCTCACCAGCAGAGAGCAGAGCACACTGCGAAGTGAACTCTTGTTCTCAAATTTCCGTGTGCACTCAACCCAAGTTGTATCTGGAATGTATGCTTGACATTTGAGACTACATAGATGTTCATAAAGATGTTGATGGCTGAGGGTCAAACCAGCTTGAACCTCGTGCCTTCTTGAATCCTAACCGTGCCTGACAAGCTAGTAGTCCTCCTCGCTGAAGTCCTGGAAATCGTCCTCGCTCTCCTCCTCACTCTCGTCGCTGTCATCACTGAGCACCACAGCCGGCTTCTTTTGAGCCCCACGGGAGAGATGGGTGCGACCTTCTGCTGCTGCAGCTGCTGGCATACCGCTCTTCTTGCTAAAAGGCGATGGGCGCATTCGTTGCACCTTGCTCACAGGCTCCTTCACAGGAGACTTAATGTCCACCTCATCAAGGAATTCAAACTCATCACCAAGAGCTGGTTTCTCCACCTGCAAAATTCAGAACGATGAATCATCAGTCACGGTCAATCACACAGAGCAGTCTTGGAAGACACTAGCAAACGAAACAGACACCAACCTTCTCCTCCATTTTCTTGGTGGCAGGTCGCTTTGTGGTGGCCTTCTTGGCAGGTTCTCTCTTGGAAGCTGCGGCGGGCTTCACTTCTGCTGTGGAAGCTGAAAGGAGAACCAAAACGAGCGTCAGCATTCAGGAAATGCATCTGGCCCGTGAATGGACTAGATGGTGCATTTTTACTAACCTCCCCCTGAAGGTTTTTCTTGCAGCGACATCTTCGCTGCCATGGCTGAAAGCCTCTCCCTGAGGCTTCCTCCAAAGTCCTCATCACTGTCGTAATCCTGAAAACATGGAGATCAAGGCAAAAGTTAGCTTGCCCCCCACAGCAGACGCCCTGAAATCATGAGTTAAGGCGGCGAGTGATATGCAGTGAAGGGTGTGATATGGGGATGCATATGAAACCACAGCTTCATGTGACATAGCGGTGCGTGAGATACAGGGCGGCACAGAATGTAGGGCTGAATGTGATACAGGGATGTGTATCACACACGTCCAATGGAACACATGGTTGCATGTAAAACATGGCTGTACGTGATACAGAGACGAACAGAATAGAGAAAAAACGTACAGATCCAGCAGGTTCTTTTGGCTTGGGAGCAGGTTTCGCCTTGGGAGCAGGTTTGACCACCTCCGGTTTTGGTGCCTGAAAAAAGAGTATCGCAGAAGATGTCAGCAGACCTCACAATTGATGGTACAGGTATGCGTCAATTTCTGCAGGTACGCATCAACTTCTGGAAACATTTGGACGGATGCAGCCCCCACTCACACAGGCCCTTGATCAACACACCTGAACAAGAGGTACGGATGCCTGTGGTTTTGTTGTAGCAACCACTGCTGTCGGCTTTGCTGCAGTAGCGGCAGCGCCCTTTCCTCGCCTCACCTTGGCATCTGCAGGACAGAAATGTGAGGACGTCAGAATATGGATGGTTAAAGTAATGCAAGTGATCAAGCCTGGCCGAGCTTGTTATCCATACCTTCCATGAAGTCATCATCTGAGTCTGAGATGAAATCCATCTCCTCATCACTGAAGACTTGAGCCTTCTTCTGTGCCCTTTTGGGTTTGGCAGCCACTGCCTTGGTAACACGACCCTTCCCCTTGCCAGGCTTGCCTGCCACCTCCTTGGCCTTCTCCTGAGCCGCCTCTTCCTCCGCAACCTGATATATGCAACATACACTGCTTTAGATTGGGAGAAGAGACGGCCAAGCACTGGTTCATGAAAGTAACAGAACGAGTTTCAATGCGCTGGATGGTAACAACGTACCTCAAGCTCCTCAAGGAACATGTCCAGGTCTCTCTCCCAGAGGTCCTTGGGCTCCGTCTTCAACAGAGCATCGTGGTCGTCTTGGTTCTTCTTCTGATCCCTCAGCAGCTCTTGAACCCTCTCCAGGGTCAAACTCCACAGTGGCATGCCAAGAAGATAGTCATAGCCACCATCGCCCCCCTTCTTAGACTTCGAGCCCCCTTCCTCTTCACCCGACTCCTCCTCATCTTCACCCTCCTCATCTGCTGCTGTGGATGAACCACCACTCGAGCTGACCTTGCCCTTTGGCAAGGGTGCAAACTTCTTCTCCTGCAAGAGAAAATCAGAATAAGTTCGTCAACTCCGCTATAAATAACCACAAATAGCAGGATAACCATGGAGCAGGAAAGCCTTACCTTGAGTTCAGCCAGAAGCTCCGCCTTCTTCCTGTTGCTGACCTCCACGCACAACTGCAAGGATGAACCTCACTCTGTTGTCCAGCTTGATGAGTTCATTTCGAAGTTGCTCCAGTTGAATATCCTGTAAATCGAGTGTCAACAAGACAACGTCAGGCCAATAAACTCACGAGCATGTCTAAAGAATGTGCAAAACAGGGCCACATTTCAAGTCGAACGTCCATTACCTTTCTCTTCCTGTAGTACTCCAGCCGAATGTGATAAAACTCCTCAATGACTGCAGGAGTACAGATCGAATGAGCAACATTAGACCCTCTGTGTCATTAGGAGAGCAACGACCTCCCATGGCCGGAAAATAGCTGATGTTGTTGTGTTTCTTACTTTCTTCCGGAGTTTCGTACTTCCTCATCCTCCCATCCTTGTCAAAGAGATGCATGTTGCTGGTTGCTACTGATACTGTCAGCTTGAAGCGCTTGATCAGTCCTTCAGCCTCCGCAGTCGCCATTCCCTCTGGCGACAAGTGCACCTCAAAATGCACAGTGGTGTCAGTGTGATGCTCCCGCATGTCCTGCAGTTCAAAACAAAAGCATGTTAGCGTTATCCAGTGATTTAAGTATTTGCAAAAAACACTCCCGCCAGCAGTGTCATGTACCTTGATGAATGGCTCCTTGTTCTTGTCGTTTACCACCATCATCCCCTCCAGGAACTCCTTGTAGTTCTGCGTCCAGGTTCGGATGGGCAGCTCCGTGATCTCCAGAACGGTGTCGCTGACCTTGTTGATGGTTCCAGTCACGATGTAGTTCCGACCGTCCTTGTTGCTGTTGGGTTCCACAGTTCCCTGGAGGAAGAAAACGAAGAAGATAACAAAAACTTGTTAGTCACAGAAATGTGAGGAAACAATTGAACAGATACCCAACAAGGTGTTGATCAGGCTAAGCCTACCTTGAACCCACGGAACCAGGGGTGCAACGGCTCCATCTCCTCGCCCCTCATCAGCCGCTTGAGGTTGTCAACGATGTCGCGCGGGTTGAACGTTGGCACGTAGGAGCTCCACCCAGTGCCAATCCCTTCACTTCCGTTGACAAGGACCAAGGGGAGGATCGGAAGGTACCTGCAAAAATTATGCAAGCTCATGATGAGGACTGGGCACTCAGGAAAATCACGTAAGACCTTCATGTGATGATTGGAATCATCACAAGCATACCATGTCGGCTCAATCTTCTGTCCGTCTTCGTTCAGGAAGTCCAGAAGGGCATCGTCCACCTCCGAGAAAAGAATCCGTGTGAGTTTGTGCAGCCTGGTGTAGATGTAACGAGGGCTGGCAGCATCTTTCCCTCCCTGCATTCAGCAACCAAAAAATAACAGGAGTCAGCTAGCAGTCAATGAAGCTGAACGGGAAGAAGATATGCCACGCAATGTCTTCCTGACGTACCTGAAGGCGGGTGCCAAACTGGCCACTGGGTACCAGCAGGTTGATGTTGTTGCTACCCACGAAATCCTGGGCGAGACCAATGATGGTGGTCATCAAGCTCATTTCACCATGGTGGTATGCCGAGTGCTCGGAGATGTAACCAGCCAGTTGTGCCACCTGATGAGACAGAGCATACGCAAACGCACTCAGTTACTGACAGCTGAGCAGATTTTTTACTCCAAGAACAACTTGCCAGATAACGGTTTCCGCACCTTCACGTCACTCTTCAGCTTCCTCTTGAAGCAACTGAAGAGGATCTTTCTCTGGCCAGGCTTGAGGCCATCCATGACAGATGGAATGGATCGCAGGTTGTCCGCAATGGAGAACAGGACCAGCTCCTTGTTGACAAAGTCGCTGTAGGTGATCGTCTTCGCACTTTGATCGAGGTACGTCCCAGGCTGAAAATAACAACCGATAGAAGAACTTAACACATGTGCTATACCAAGACAAGAGACCAGAACATCAGAAACACATGGCACGCGTATGTACCTCCACATTACGCAGCCAGGTCTTCCTGTCTTCCACCTTCTTCTTGCTGAACGCCATTTCAATGCTTTCGCCATCCTCTTCTCCGCTCCACTCAAAGCTCTTCCGGTGCTGATCAAGGGCTGCAAAATACTCTTTAGCTTCCTTCGGAGTGCTTGTTCCCAGACCCTGTGAGGCCACAAACAGAGAATGTTAAGTTTGAAGTTTCAGAAACATCTAGTGCCGTAGGCACCAGCACAGGAACTTGCCTTGTAGTACTTGATGGACCATCCTTTAGTACTTCCTCCAAGGGATTCTTTCCAAGACTCGTACTCGGGCATGGTGTAGAAGGAAAGAACCTTTCCACGGGGCCCAGTAGCCTGCACAGCACGCATAGTAAAGATTAGATTTGCTTCTATATTGAGCAAGAGAATCTCGGAGTTGTCTGCAAGAATCATCTGACCTTGACGATGGGCGTGATGAACTCCAGCAGGAAGTTGGGTTGCTTCAGAAGTGACGGCCAAAAGGCGTGGAGGAAGTTGATGAGGAGGCCCTTTATATGCGATCCATCGTGGTCCTGCATTGCGAGACTCCTCAAATGAGACTTTTACGGGCTGTTCTCCCCCCGAGATGTCTAAAATTGTCCGAGCTGCTTACCTGATCAGTCATGATCATCAGATGGCCGTATCGCAAGGATTTGGTGCTGTCGTAGTGCTTTCCCTGCTGAAGCCCCATGATTTGCTTGATGTTGGTGATCTCTGCGTTCTCTGTTAACTGCTTGGCAGGTGCATCCCTGACGTTCAGTAGCTTCCCACGCAGCGGGAATACTCCGTACTTGTCACGACCAACAACACTCAAGCCGCTCACCTGAGAAAACAGAGAAAAGGTTAGGTATCTTAGAATTGCGGTGCTCTATTGCAGCACAAGCATCAAGCGCATCACTCTCAGGCACTTACAGCAAGAGCCTTCGCAGAGTCTCCCTCCGTAAGAATCAAGGTGCACTGCTCGGAGTTGCGTCCACCTGCATCGTTCGCATCGTCCAGCTTCGAAATTCCCGTGAGCCGCTGCTTCTTGCTTCCATCGCTCTTCTTCATGTCCTTGTTCGCCTTGAAGGTCGCGAAAGAGAGGATGCTGTCGATCACACCCGATTTTGCGACTGCAAAAAACGAAATACACTGCAGGTCAGTAGCTGTCCAGCTTGCGACTTGAGAACTAAAACAAGAACGAACTAGAATTACCTTTCTGAAGAAAAGTGTCTGGTAGCTTGCACGTGGAGCCAAACTCGCTCGCCCGGGTGTTCAACGTCTCCTTGGTCTGCGAATCGAATGCCGGGTTGACGATCATCGAGTTCACAAAGACCCACAAGTGGCACTTCACTTGATGGGCCTTAATAGCCGGTGCACCCTTCCCTGCCTTCTTCTGGGCCTTCTCTATGAGGAACTTGGTCAGTTGGTCAGCGACAAGATTGACATGGGTGCCACCCTTGATTGTCGCAATGCTGTTGACGAAGCTGACCTGCTGAAACTGGCCGTCACTCAGTGAAACACAAACCTCCCAGTTGTCGTTGACCTTCTCGTAAATCCTGCCAAAAAAATCAGAACGATTCAGCTCACATTGACGAGTTCGAAACTAATGAAAGCTAACCAGGCACTAACGCTAATTTCACTCACTTCGGCAGTGGGCCAGGGACTTCACCGCTTGACCTGGGTGAGTCGAGGTAAAGTCCGACGTAATCTTGGAAGTTCTTCAGGGAAATCTTGCTTCCATTCAGCTCGACCTTGACAGTTTTCCCGAGCACTCCAGCCATGTCAACCACACGCTTGCTCATGAGGGCCACATGATCAGCATCAAGATGAGTCAGCTTGAACTTTGCCAGGTCTGGGTGGAACGTCACGCACGTCCAGCTTTCTCCGGACCTCGTTTTCGTAATCTCGGGCTCCGACTTCTTGCTCATGTTGTCATTGAAAACCTGTTGACAATGCCAGGAAAATCCCGTGAGAATCAGGAAGAAAGCATCGGACGAGACATCTGAATAACGAATAACATGTGAATAAAGTACTGAATAACGACCTTGCATTGTTGTGGTGAACGTCCTACCTGACGATATTGCTTCTTGCGTTCGCCGTCGGCAGTCTCGATGACGAATTCCGTGGAGAATATGTTAGCGAGCTTCGCACCATAACCGTTCCGACCACCCGTCGTCTTCTTCTCTGTATCGTCGTAGTTGCTGCTGGTGAGGAGATGGCCAAAGATCATCTCCGGGACGTAGCAGTTCTCGTCTGCGTGAATCTCGATCGGAACACCCTTGCCGTTGTTCCACACCTGAAGCCAGAAAAGGTTTATCCGTGAGAACGACTTCGTCGCACATATGGACCCAGTCTTTGCTATTCTAGCACGCAGCTTACCTTAATCATGTTCTTTTCTGGATCAATGTGCACTTTGAGCAAGTCCATGGAGGGATCTCTCTGTTTGTTGTCGGCGGCGTTGACGAGAATTTCGTCGAAGATTTTGTACAGGCCAGGGACGATGGTCGCCTCGCGATGTACCATTCTGCCATTTTCGCAGACCCATAAGGTCTGCGTGTGGCTCTGAACTGATCCGACGTAAGTGTCTGGCCTTAGGAGGACGTGTTCTAGCGGAGTTTTCTTCTGGTATGTCTGCTCAATTGTCCTTCCCTTGCTGATGTTTGCTGCCGTGCTGAGCTGAAGAGGTTCCTTGGCCTTCTTCGCCGCAGCTTTCGGTGCAGCCTTCTTCTTCGTCTGCGACGCAATCCATTAATCACCGTCAAGAGAACCGCCTGGTAGTATAATGAAGTGCGAAGATGGCTTGCGTACTTACGAGTGGAATGAAGTTCTCATCATCGCTCATATATTCGTCGATATCCATGTCTATGAGTGCTCTCTGGTTCCTAAGCTTGTTCCCACAGGTAGGATAAAGAGAAGGAACCTGAGTGACTGTTGACTAGCACAATCGGTACCTAGAGAAAAGCTCAGGCGAGACTCGAAATGAAGAGAACGAATTGAACGCATTCACAACTCTTCTGTGCGATAATCCCAATGCAACGCCAGCCCGAATGAATGTCATTCTATGATGCTATGCCACACCATAGCAGGCATGGGGGAAGGGGTGACAGCCAGCCCGAGCCGCCTCGAGCCTGTCACCAGGATTCCGCGCCAAATTTCAAAATCCGTGGGCTCTGCAGACTGCAATACTTTCAACAGTCAGAGGCTTCTGCATTCCGTCAGAAAAGGTCATCGCCTGGCATGGATGGCCATCTTGTACACTTCGGACTCATTTTTGAACATTTGTTAACCTCATGCCCATAGGCAATCTTAAAACCGGAGTCCCAAACAGCCCGAAACTGCCTCAACCTTCCTAACTTCGGTTGGGTGTGACCCAGTTGATACCGAGCTCTCCTCGCAAATTGTTGGGACGATTTTCGCCAAGCGAAATTACTGTTCAAGCGAGGACGATAGCGGTGACAACTTCGCAAACACATTTGCAGCCCGTCCGAAACAGTCAGCGAACGAGTTCTGACGTAGCATTCCAGATCTGGTTACACTCGCGACTTTTTCATACTTAGCGACCCGCTACCACTGATTTCGACACCACCCTGGCTCGCGAGCCAGTCACCTTTCTCTCCCCTTTCAACCTTCCTAACTTAGAAACTCTTGGACCTCCGGTTTTAACGTACACACAATCATGCTCTCATTGCCTTAAATAAATGCTTATTCTAAGTTATAAATACATCATAGTGGATGAAAATCATAAGATTTGTTTTTCGAGGGACGCTGATTATTTTTGTGTTTTTGTGACAAATTTGATTGCGTTATTTATGTATTAAATATAATGTGACAAGACTAGCATCCACAGCGAGTTATGGGTGACATTATATAGGGATTTATGACATTGGTGATCAACGCGGGCTGGCGTGGATGGTTGTGACTCACATCCAGCAGCACCAAGCCAGCACCTACTAGCAGCACGTTTCCCGGCTCGTTCCTAACATCAACGTTTGTTCCTGATAAACTGAACGACTGATCAATCAGGTCCTTGGAAATCACCTGTCCCAAGCCACTTCGCTTCGCAAGCCTAATCTATGAGTCAAAGTTAGAGAGCCGATCGCACCTCATGGGTGTCTGCACGGCTTCCGTGGCATGGTATTGCATTTCGCTGTCTCTTGTCACAGGTACATTTATCATGAATATAAGTTTTAATTATATCGCTTCCAATAAGAATGAATAATATCGTGTTCTAGTCGACTGAAAACCATTCAGCTTCATCCCATTCAGCTGTTGAGTGCGTGGTCAGCTTAGCGTCCAAATGTTTGTTATATTTTTCGCGCAACGTTTTGAGTAAGTCGTTCGGCGGGCTTAGCGTCCAAATGCGTATCGTTATGTAGACGCGCTACGTCCTTCAACGGATTTAGGATTGAGTCAAAGTGTCCTTCCTTGTCCCTCCCCCTATCCCCTCCCTATGCCATCCGTCATCCCTCACAGCAGCACTAGTAGCAGCCCAGTCGTCCGATGAGTTGCTGCTGGGCCGCGTGGCGGAGATGGAGGAGCAGCTCAACCAGCAGCTGCTGGACGGGCCTGCTGACGGCACCTCCCAGCCCGCCGGAGCTGCCACAACCAAGGCTGCTGCCACTGGCGGATCTGGCGACGGCGCTGCAGTGTCAGTCTTTCCTCCCTTTGCATGTTTGTGAATTGGTTTGAAGAAATGTTGGAGGGGCCTCCTGAGGGCACCGCCCAGCTGGCTGGAGCAACAAACAAGGCTGCTGCCACTGCCGGCTCTGGGAACGGCGCTGGAATGTTAGTCTTCTGTTCCCTTTGCGTGTGTGCTTGTGGTTTCCGCCTTCCATGCGGGATCGTCGTTCCCATGTTCACAGAAGGTCTGCTGAAAACCACCTCGCTTCTTGAGAATATTCATCTGCAAGCTAAATAGCAACTCTTCAATATCCGCGACTTGTCCCTGCATCCCTCTCCCTTCCCCCCCATGCACCACGCCAGTGAATCCTTGCCACCACGTCCCACTTTCACAGAAGGCCTGCTGAAAACCACCACTCTCCCCCGCGGCATCTACCGCAACAAGCTGAATAGCACCTTCCTGGAATACCACCGAAACGTGCACAAGGGGGAGGTAGAACTGCACTGCATGGGCAGCACCTGCCCGAACCTAGACAGCTGCGGCTCGGCATTCCCGAACGTGCGAGCCTGCTTCTGGCCGAACCTCGTGGACGAGGATTATATTTACCCTGACCAGCCTGAGAACTGCCCGAAGCTGTCGAATTGGGATGAGGTTGGGGCGAAGGGGGCGGATCCTAGGTGTACCCACCCTGGGGATAATCTGAGATTTGATAAGTATGTGCCGCAGTATTATGAGATCAAGGACGTGTTTGTGGATGCTAACGGGGTGCTCTTTAACGAGTCGCTGCACTTCTTCCGCCACGGCTGCTTCAAGGACAAAGAGGTGAGGGGAGGTGAGGTGAGGTGAGGTGAGGTGAGGTGAGGTGAGGTGAGGTGAGGTGAGGTGAGCCAAGGTCACAAATCAGTTTCCTTGTTTACATTCTTAAGGCATTTCCTGTTCTCCATAGCCACAAAGCAGTTCCCGTTCTTGACACCTTTTTTATCGCTCGTCGCCCTCCCTGCCCGTCCATGCTACACACTCTCCCACTCTTGCTCACACCCTCTTCGCCTGCAGTTCGCCTACCACGCCAACCAGACAAGCTTGCAGCACTACCATCAACTTGTGTCTCTCTGATGCATCAAGTTCGCGTCAACTTTATTGTTTCCCTACCCCCCACTCCCTGCAGTTCGCCTACCACGCCAACCAGACCAGCGTGCAGCACTACCACCGCCTCATATCGCTGCTGTACCAGCTGGGCGGGGCTTTCTACCACACGCTCATCGAGGTGGTGCCGCATTTCCTGCTGCTCGCCCCTCTGCTGAAAGACAACCCCGGCATGCCCATCGCTGTCAGCCGCAAACAGGCAAGCATTTGTTCTTTGTATCGGCTGTTTGAGTTGTGTGTGGGCGGGAACGGAAGGTGGCTGAAGAGTGGGCGTTCTACCACATGCTCATCTGGGTGGTGCCTCACTTCCTGCTGCTCGCCCCTCTTCTGAGAGACAACCCCGACATGCCCATCGCTGTCAGCCGCAAACAGGCAAGTGCCTTTGATTTACCAGCTTGGTGGGGAAGAGGGGGGAGTGGGAGGCTGCGTTTCTTTTTCCCAGCTCTCTGCAGCTATTTAGGGCTGTTTGAGCCTAGTCTCTACCATGCTCGAGTCTTGCCTCTCCTGCTGCTCACGAATAAGAGCCCTTTCTTTGCTCCTTCTCTAGTCGCTCTTTCCACACTCACAAGTCACCTTGAACCATGCTGCACTCCTCTTCTTCCCGCCAGCACAGCTGAAGATGTACGACTCTGTGCTGTACCCCATCGTGGGCATCACCTCGCGCGAGCTGAACCTCCTTCTCATGTCTCTCTCTTACCACGCTCACAAGTCACCTTGAACCATGCTGCACTCCTCTTCTTCCCGCCAGCACAGCTGAAGATGTACGACTCTGTGCTGTACCCCATCGTGGGCATCACCTCGCGCGAGCTGAACCTCCTTCTCATGTCTCTCTCTTACCACGCTCACAAGTCACCTTGAACCATGCTGCACTCCTCTTCTTCCCGCCAGCACAGCTGAAGATGTACGACTCTGTGCTGTACCCCATCGTGGGCATCACCTCGCGCGAGCTGAACCTCCTTCTCATGTCTCTCTCTTACCACGCTCACAAGTCACCTTGAACCATGCTGCACTCCTCTGCTCCCTGCCAGCACAGCTGAAGATGTACGGCTCTGTGCTGTACCCCATTGTGGGCATCACCTCGCGCGAGCTGAACCTAACTGAAATCATCACCTGAATCTGAACATTATAATCAGAGCAAACATGTATTTTCTCCTCCTCCCCGCCAGCACAGCTGAAGATGTATGACTCTGTGCTACACCCCATCGTGGGCATCACCTCGCGTGTGCTGAACCTCGTTCTCGTGGACGATCGGAACCAGAAGATGCTGCTGCATGCTGACATGGCGTACCAGGTACGTGCTGATGTGGTATGTGCTGACGTGGCGTACCAGTATACGCTGATGTGGCGTACCAGGTACGTGCTGACGTGGCATACCAGGTACACGCTTATGTTGTAGGGCGTGTTGCACTCCCATTACCTCACTCCTCTCTTTGTGTCAACATGCATATCCGACAGGCATAACTGAATGGAAACAAAAGCATTGCAATTTGCCCCAGACCCTGCACGCCTGGTGCATGCCTCATCGATGGAAACAAAAGCATTGCATCGATATGATGAGTTGCTTTATTTAACCTGCCAGGCATGTAGCATGAGCTAAGAGGCAGCACAAACCATCCTTTTAATCCCCCGTCCCACCTCCCTCAAACCTCATTGGAGCCTGTGTTCGAGGCATGCAGCAGGGAAGCAACAGGCGTGTGGCAGGAGCTGAGGCGGCGGCGCTACCTCGTGCCACCAACTCCCTCGTCCTATCCTTCCTCCCCCCCACACCACCACTGCACCCTGTGTTCCAAGCATGTGGCAGGGCAGCGCCAGCCGTGTGGCGGGAGCTGAGGCGGCGCTACCTCGTGAATCCACCAACTCCCTCTGTATTTCCTTACCCCCCCCACCTCCCCCCCTCCCCCCATCCGCACTGCAGCCTGTGTTCCAAGCATGCGGCAGGGCAGCGCCAGCCGTGTGGCGGGAGCTGAGGCGGCGCTACCTCGTGCCATCCGACGGCCTCCCCATGTTCGGCCCGGGCTTTGCTCCCCGGCACCCTGGCAACAGCAGCAGCAGCAATGACAGCACTGGGAACAGCAGCACCACCGCCACCAACAGAAGCAGCACCGCCACCAACACTAACAGCAGCAGCATCCCCCCTCCGTGGACGGACGAGCAGATGGCTCGGCTGCCCGCCAGCTGGCTCGCTGTGATTGCTCGGCGCCACAAGTCCAAGCGGCGCATTGCTGGCTTCCCGCAATTGGTGGATTCCATGAAGCAGATCTTCCACCCCTCTAGGGTCTACGTGTTCGATGGCAAGCTGAATGTCACCCAAGGTGCGTTGGGTTGGGTTGCTTGAGTGCCATCACAACTCACTGCGGTCCAGTCAATTGGTGATTCCATGAAGCAGATCTTCCACCCCTCCAGGGTGTATGTGTTTGATGGCAAACTGAATGTCAGTCAAGGTGAGATGAGTTGGGACCGTGGTCTGCATGTTGTTGGTTTGACTGCCATCGCAATCAAGTCCAAGCGCCGCATCGCTGGCTTCCTGCAATTGGGACTCCATGAAGCAGACCTTCCACCCTTCTAGGGTCTATGCGTTTGATGGCGAGCTGAATGTAACCCAAGGTGAGTTGGGAGAGCATGTACAGTCTAGATGTTTGTTGTTTGCATGCCGCCAGAAGTCCAAGCGGCGCATCGCTGGCTTCCCGCAATTGGTGGACTGGATGAAACAGATCTTCCACCCCTTGAGGGTCTATGTGTTGGCAAGCTGAATGTAACCCAAGGTGACGGGGCCAAGGAGAGTGAATCAAATCCAACATCCTATTTTCCTGTTCCCCGTCCTCTTGTCCCTCCCATCCCAGCCAAAACCGTAATCAGGGCAGCGGTGTTTGTGGGGCTGCACGGGGCAGGCCTGGCCAACATGGTCTTCGTGCCGCTCAACGCCAGCATCTCGTGTCCCTGATCCTTTTTGTCATTCCACCTGATGTTTCCCCGTCCCGGCTCTCTTGCCCCTCCCAGCCAAAACCGTGTTCAACAGGGCAGCGGTGTTTGTGGGGCTGCACGGGGCAGGCCTGGCCAACATGGTCTTCATGCCGCTCAACGCCAGCATCTCGTGTCCCTGATCCTTTTTGTCATTCCACCTGATGTTTCCCCGTCCCGGCTCTCTTGCCCCTCCCAGCCAAAACCGTGTTCAACAGGGCAGCGGTGTTTGTGGGGCTGCACGGGGCAGGCCTGGCCAACATGGTCTTCATGCCCCTCAACGCCAGCATATTTGAAATCCGCCCGCGCGGCTACCCCAACCCCTGCTACCACCATCTCGCCACCGCCACCCAGATGCACTACCATTTGATCCTCGGGAACGGTACCAAGGACAGCGAGTTGAAGTTCAACCACACGGAGGCTGTGGAAGTGCTGAGACTGATTGCCAATCGCACGAGAGCAAGAATGTCGGCTGAAAAGTTCGAGTCGATTAATCTGTTGCCGCCGCTGGAAGCGGTGGGGGAGGAGGATTGGAAGGAGAGGGCTGGGCTGGATGGGGAGGAGGAGGAGGAAAATGGCGGAGGGGGGAATGCGGAGTTGACTATTCCGCTTGAGCTTATGGCGGATGTGACTCTAAAGGCGCTGAATGACACAGATGTAGGGGCGGAGGAGCAGGAGGAGGAGGTGAAGAGTCTGGATGAAGAGACTAAAAAGAAGATGGAGGGAGAGAGGGTGGTAACGATTGGGGAGTTGAGTGAAGATTTGAAACGGGCTGAGATGAAACAGGTGCATGTGAATTCAGGGGTGTCACATGATAAGCGCAAGGCGATTCTTAACTGTACGGGCGGCCCGTGCCCGGATTTTTCGGGCAGGTGCGAGTCGAATCGCGAAGCGTCGGCCTGCAGGATGAATGAAGTTTCAGATGAGGGGTTTGCCCGCCCGGCGATTCCTATAAACTGCCCGAAGAAAGGGAATTTGACGACTGTGGGCCCGGAGGGGAGGGATGAGAGCTGCTCGCATACGTCCGATTTCGGGTGGTACGAACCGGGCACATTCCAGATTTACCTTTTGCGGGGAGTGTATATCGACCACGAGGGGCATGTGTTCAACAAAACGACCCATTTCAACCGGGAGGGGTGCAACAATGATGCACCGGTGAGTGTTTGTGTGTGCGGTGAGTGTGCATGAGGTGACAATTTGTGTGTGTGTGTGTGTGTGTGTGTGTGTGTGTGTGTGTGTGTGTGTGTGAGCGAGAGTGTATGCAGTGACTGTGTGTGAGGCGAGTTTTGTGATGTACGTGAGTCAAATCAAAGCCCAGCATCTCATCCGCAATCAGATTCTAAAAAGGAAGCTTCCACGTTCAATGCAAGTTCATACTTGCCGTGTGGCTTCAAGACCACGGATGTGTGATTTTATCCGCTCCCCTCAATTCCATCTCAACCGCTAACCCCATCTCCCAATTGAAGTACGAAAAAGGAAGAAAGGTCCACAGGTTGAAGCGAGTTGTGAACCTGGCATTCTACCAGGGCCGCAACTTCTACCACGGGCTCACATCATCTCACCCCTACATTTAGCGAGGTTGTTTTTGAGACGTCTCAAAAACAACCTCGCTACACGTGGCAACTTCTACCACGGGCTCACATCATCTCACCCCTACATTACCCCCATCCGAACCACCGCATCTGCTTGCAGTTTGAGTACAAGAAGGGCACAAAGGTTAACAAGCTCAAGAGGGTGGTGAACCTGGCGTACTATCAGGGCCGCAACTTCTACCACGGGCTCACCGATTGGACGGCCTCCCTTCATCCTCACCCCTATATCCCCGCAGTTCGAGTACAAGAAGGGCACAAAGGTGCATAGGTTGAAGCGAGTGGTGAACCTGGCGTACTATCAGGGCCGCAACTTCTACCACGGGCTCATCGAATGGACGCCCCAGCTCTTCCTCCTCAGCTCTCTGCTGCACGCCCACCCCACCATCCCTCTGCTCGCCATCCACGACCAGGTACACCTGGTGTAGGCGGCATGTAGGCCTGCACGACCAGGTACACCTGGTGTAGGCGGCATGTAGGCCTGCATGACCAGGTACACCTGCTGTTCCCTGCTGTAGGTGGTTAAGGAGTGTCCTCTGTGCGTACATCTTGCAACGAGGTTACATCTGGCGTGAGATTGTAAGGTCCGCATGGGCTCACCAGGTATGTCTGGTGTAGGCGTGTACAATGGGCTTGCATGGAGGTGCAGCAGGGATATCGTTTTCTCAATTACCCTGCATGCTATTTTCTCGCCTCTCATCTTCCTTCCACTTCCATTCACCTGCAATGGTAAATGTGCAAGTAGGTGCATGTGTCTTCTTCACCATCTGCTAAAGAGGACGTTCCTCCACTCTCTCTCCCCGTCTCACTCCCCCCTCGTTCCTTTTCCTGTCCACGCAGTGGGATTTCTACGAGAATATATCAAAGCCTATTATAGGAGTGGAGCAATTCGCTATGAACCGACTCAATATAAGCCGCGGGGAGCTCTTCTATGCCGATGAGGTGTACCTGGTAAGTCACACACATGACCTTGTCTATGTGCATGTGCACCTTCTTATACTGCCAAAGCGATGCATTTTGCCTTTCCAGGCTCAGGCAATTCACTATTTGGAGTGTAAGCGTGTTGGTTATTCGAGCTAAGTGCTTTGCTTATCTAGTTTCAAGCATCTTGCTTATTGCTTTGTTCTCCTGTTTCCCTTTCCCCTCCTCTCCCAACACCCCAGCCGCTATACCAGGCATGTGGCAAGGCCAGCCCCTCTCTCTGGTCGCTCCTCCGCTCCCACTTCCTCCTTACCCCGCAATGCTTTCCTGTATCCTCTCCTCCTGTTTCTCTTTCCCCTCCTCTCCAACACCCCAGCCACTATACCAGGCATGTGGCAAGGCTAGCCCCTCTCTCTGGTCGCTCCTCCGCTCCCACTTCCTCCTTGCCCCGCAAGGCCTCCCCATCTTTCCGCCCACCACCTGGATCCAACGGCCAGGATTGGCCGATCCGGTGAACCAGACCGAGGCGGCAACAGTGCCGCCTGACTGGATGGTGCTGCTTGTGCGGCGGCCAGGTGTCAAGCGCTCATTGGACCGCTGGGACGCGCTGTATGAGTCGGCCGTATCGGTGTTCTCTCTCAACCGGGTCCATGTGCTAAATGGCTCCGTGCCTATGCTCAAAGGTACTCCACCCTTTCTTTCAGTTTATGGAAGTAGGTTTGGATGTCTTTGTTTTTTTGTTTGTTTATTTTCTGTTTTGTGCCTTTTTGTTTCCTGCTCCTTTCCAACAATGATAACTTCCAACTGCTGGCTGTGTGGATGTGCCCCGAAGCTTTCTGCCAACTCCTTCCCATTCCCGCGTCCCCCCTTCCATGTTCCTGCACGATCCACGTTCTTGTTCCTGTTTCCACACCTCCAGCTCGGTCGCTGTTTCGAAGAGCGAGGCTGCTTATAGCGGGACACGGAGCAGCAATGGCAAACATGGTCTTCATGCGACCCAACATGACAGTCTACGAGATTCGACCCGACAAGAGCAACAACGCGTGTTACCACCACCTAGCACATGCATGTGGGCTCCGATATTACCTGACGTTTGGGGATGGGGATGGGGAGAGCGTAGTGAAGATTGATGTGGGGAAGGTTACAGGGGTGTTGAAGGAAATTGCCAAGACGTTTCCGCCTTTGCCAGGGGACGAGCATCCAGATGACGTGTCGATCTTTGGGGATGGATAATGTAATGCAACACAGTGATGTACACACAAGATGCCTATTTTGTATATTGGCTGCCTTGGGGTAGGTCATCTTTGGTCCCCTTGTACACTCAAGCACACTGAAGTGCATTGCATTGTATCTTACCGTCTCCCCCCGGATATACCCCCATGGGGGGCAATAATAAAACAGGTTTATTCAGGGGGGTGGGCTTATAATCAAGTAAATTTATAAGCGCCGGCGTTTATAAAATGACATAAATATTTTTTATATCTTTTAACACCAAACTGTAGGTCTCGTGCTTGCCTTTTCAATCGAGTCGAAGTTACATGGGGTCGTCTGTGAAATTCTCGCGCGCGCTGGGAGATACACCCAATCTGACTCACATCCAGCTCCTGACAGCTCCTGACAGCTCCTGCTGACTGGACCCGCATCCAGTGTAGGGTCCGAATGTGAAGGGAACCGAATCTGCAACATATCCGCCTGCTAAAGTAAAAATCGTTACAGCGTTTTGAACACATTTCAAATTTTAAAGTTTACGTGCGCTTATAACAAAACAAGTTTTTTCAAGGGGTGCGCTTATAATCGAGGAGGGGATATAAGCGCCATATGCCAATTAGAAGCGCCAGGCGCTTATCCTAGGGTGGCGCTTATATCCGGGGGGTGACGGTAACAGTAAGGCGGATGCATACAGGGTGCATAAAATTAGGAGAATGATAAATATACATCATACAGGCTGGATGTACGGGCAGTCAAGTGACAAGATACATTCGTAATCAGGATCAGCTAATGGCGACCGAAGAAAACTCATCCTACACTCCTTTCTCAACTTCTTCTCCAGACACCGCTTCCCATAAGATTCCTTCAACCGCTTACCAGCCTCCTCCCTCCCATTCTTCCTAACATCCAGCGCAAATTCCTGGGCGAATTTTAACAGCTTTTCAACACCGCTTATGTCTTGATCGGCCAGGTGTACCTTTCGCGAGTGCGTGCGATATTTCTTACACGCCGCATCTCGATCGCACTCCATAGGACTCATCCCCGCATAGAGCGAATCGTTAGCAGGCGCAGGCGGAGGCCCCGCGGTACACTGATACTGCATGTAATTTATCCCCGCGTTTATTGCGGTGTAGTAATACAGATCGTAGAACACTCCGAAGGGGGAGATCTCGAGAACGATCGCGTCTGAGCGAGCGAAACAGGTGGGGTTGGTGAGGCCTGCGCCGTGTAGGGCCACGATCACTTCAGATGAATCAGTGAGGGCTAGCTGTTGGGAGAAGGGGAGAACAGCATATTCTGTCATTGTCACCTGTGGGGGAGAATGGGCGAGGAAGGGGAATAGGATGAGCGGGAGAGGAGAGGGAGGGAAAGGAGGGTTGTTGGTGAGACATGTACCGTGCAGGGCCACGATGACTTAGGCAGAATTAGTGAGGGCTAGCTGTTGAGAGAAGGGGATAACAGCGTATTCTGTCATTGTCACCTGTGGGGGACGTGGGAGGGAGAGTGTCAGAGAGTGTGAAATAGGTGGGAGGGAAGGGAGGATTTGTTGGTGAGACATGTACCGTGCAGGGCCACGATAACCTAGGCGGAATCAGTGAGGGCAAGCTGCTGAGAGAAAGGGAGAAGAGCATATTCTGTCTTTGTCACATGTGGGGGGGTGGGCGAGGGAGAGTGTCAGAGTGTGGGACGTGAAGGGAGGGTGTGTAGGGGACCTGCTGGGCTATGGAGTGACGGACTAGCTACCGAGAATGGGGGGACAGCGTCACATGCAGCAGCCACTGGACCCTGCAGGTGCTTTTTAACAGGATGGAATTTCAGGAGCGAGCAAATGTGTGTATCGGAGCATGCGTGGGTGGTTGCATCCATATGTGGGTCACAGTTTCGGCTGCAGTATGTGACGAGAAATGGCACGATAGCGACCGGGGGGAGGGTCATGCACCCAGACAGTCACAAGGCATGCATGACCCTCCTCCCGGTGGTCATGGTAACGTTACGCGTCACATACAGCAACCGCACCCCCACTCACGCACGTATACACACATTCGATCGCACCTGGAAATCCATCCGGTTGAAAAGGTCCTGAAGGGCCTTATGGCTGTCTGCGTGCATGACCCTCCTCCCAGTCGTCATGGTGTCGTTGCGCGTCACATACAGCAGCCACACCCGTGACCCATGCATTGATGACCTATACACCTCCCCAACTCACACACCTATACACACATTCGATCGCACCTGGAAATTCATCCGGTTGAAAAGCTCCTGAAGCGCCTTGTGGCTGTCTGGGTGCATGACTCTCCTCCCGGTGGTCATGGTGTCGTTGCGTGTCACATACAGCAGCCGCACCCGCGACCCATCGTCAGGGTAGTGCCGATCCCCACCCCCACCGCTGCCACTGGCACTGCTGCTGCCGCTGTTGCTGTCACTACTGCTGCTGCTTGCTGCCATGATATCGGGCACTGGTTGGCCGTCTGGTGTGAGAAACACCTCCCTCAGTCGCTGCCTCACCACCTCTGCCTCCTCCGCCATACCATTGAATGTGATAGCCTGCATGGGAAGGGAGAGGTGTGGTACATTGAGAGTGAGAGTTGGGGTACAGGGGAGAGTCAAAGGAGATATGAAGGTAAGGGCGTATTCCAAGTTGGTGGCAAGACAACTGTTGATGGCATCCGAAATTCTTGGACGACCAATGAGAAGACCTGAAATGCACCCCATTGGCCGTCCAAGAATTTCGGACGCCATCAACAGTTGCCTTGCCACCAACATGGAATACGCCCTAAGAGCTGGATTGCCGGGGAGAATTAAAGGAAGGAAGCGCCTCAATCAGTCACTGCTTCATCACCAGCTCTGCCTCTTCTGGCATGCTGTTGATTGAACGTGATGGCCTGGATGGGATTGGAACATGAAGCGACTAGAAAATCGTCTCACTTTTGAGGAGCCTCAGGAAAAAGTGCTGCATTCCATTTGGGCAGGCCAGAGACTACAAGAAGGCACCGAACAACAACAGAAGAACGGAGGAATGGAAGGAGCGGAAGAATGGAAGATACTTACCTTGAGCAGGCCGGGCACAATAAGAGTCTGGAAGCACATAGGCCTCTCATCGCTTGCAGCATTCAACTGCCCCTCAAACTCCACCCGCCCTCCGGCTAGCGGGCCGGGGGTGAGGAGGGAGGAGGGCGAGACGGAGGCGAGGAGGGAGGGCAGGAGGGAGGCGGGGAGGAGAGGCTCGAGGGCCATGCGGAGGAGGAGGTGCAGCATTGAGGGCAGCCAGCCGTGTGGGCCGTGCTCCTTCATTCTGAGAGGGAAGCGGGTTCGGGAACAAGTCAGAATAAGAAAGGGGGGGGAGTGGTGTGAGTTGGGGAAATGGGAGCGCCACGCGGAGGAGGAGGTGCAGCATTGAGGGCAGCCAGCCGTGTGGTCCGCGCTCCTTCATCATGGTGTCAGGTTAGGGTGGGAAGGGAGACAGGAAAGAGGAGGTGCAGGAGAGAGATAGACGTAAAGTAGGAAAGGAATGAGCGGCTCTAGAGGAATGCGGAGGAGGAGCAGCATGGAGGGTGACTGGTCTTGGGACATGTTCTCAGCGAGCAGCATGGAGGGTGACTGGTCTTGGGACATGTTCTCAGCGAGCAGCATGGAGGGTGACTGGTCTTGGGACATGTTCTCAGCGAGCAGCATGGAGGGTGACTGGTCTTGGGACATGTTCTCAGCGAGCAGCATGGAGGGTGACTGGTCTTGGGACATGTTCTCAGCGAGCAGCATGGAGGGTGACTGGTCTTGGGACATGTTCTCAGCGAGCAGCATGGAGGGTGACTGGTCTTGGGACATGTTCTCAGCGAGCAGCATGGAGGGTGACTGGTCTTGGGACATGTTCTCAGCGAGCAGCATGGAGGGTGACTGGTCTTGGGACATGTTCTCAGCGAGCAGCATGGAGGGTGACTGGTCTTGGGACATGTTCTCAGCGAGCAGCATGGAGGGTGACTGGTCTTGGGACATGTTCTCAGCGAGCAGCATGGAGGGTGACTGGTCTTGGGACATGTTCTCAGCGAGCAGCATGGAGGGTGACTGGTCTTGGGACATGTTCTCAGCGAGCAGCATGGAGGGTGACTGGTCTTGGGACATGTTCTCAGCGAGCAGCATGGAGGGTGACTGGTCTTGGGACATGTTCTCAGCGAGCAGCATGGAGGGTGACTGGTCTTGGGACATGTTCTCAGCGAGCAGCATGGAGGGTGACTGGTCTTGGGACATGTTCTCAGCGAGCAGCATGGAGGGTGACTGGTCTTGGGACATGTTCTCAGCGAGCAGCATGGAGGGTGACTGGTCTTGGGACATGTTCTCAGCGAGCAGCATGGAGGGTGACTGGTCTTGGGACATGTTCTCAGCGAGCAGCATGGAGGGTGACTGGTCTTGGGACATGTTCTCAGCGAGCAGCATGGAGGGTGACTGGTCTTGGGACATGTTCTCAGCGAGCAGCATGGAGGGTGACTGGTCTTGGGACATGTTCTCAGCGAGCAGCATGGAGGGTGACTGGTCTTGGGACATGTTCTCAGCGAGCAGCATGGAGGGTGACTGGTCTTGGGACATGTTCTCAGCGAGCAGCATGGAGGGTGACTGGTCTTGGGACATGTTCTCAGCGAGCAGCATGGAGGGTGACTGGTCTTGGGACATGTTCTCAGCGAGCAGCATGGAGGGTGACTGGTCTTGGGACATGTTCTCAGCGAGCAGCATGGAGGGTGACTGGTCTTGGGACATGTTCTCAGCGAGCAGCATGGAGGGTGACTGGTCTTGGGACATGTTCTCAGCGAGCAGCATGGAGGGTGACTGGTCTTGGGACATGTTCTCAGCGAGCAGCATGGAGGGTGACTGGTCTTGGGACATGTTCTCAGCGAGCAGCATGGAGGGTGACTGGTCTTGGGACATGTTCTCAGCGAGCAGCATGGAGGGTGACTGGTCTTGGGACATGTTCTCAGCGAGCAGCATGGAGGGTGACTGGTCTTGGGACATGTTCTCAGCGAGCAGCATGGAGGGTGACTGGTCTTGGGACATGTTCTCAGCGAGCAGCATGGAGGGTGACTGGTCTTGGGACATGTTCTCAGCGAGCAGCATGGAGGGTGACTGGTCTTGGGACATGTTCTCAGCGAGCAGCATGGAGGGTGACTGGTCTTGGGACATGTTCTCAGCGAGCAGCATGGAGGGTGACTGGTCTTGGGACATGTTCTCAGCGAGCAGCATGGAGGGTGACTGGTCTTGGGACATGTTCTCAGCGAGCAGCATGGAGGGTGACTGGTCTTGGGACATGTTCTCAGCGAGCAGCATGGAGGGTGACTGGTCTTGGGACATGTTCTCAGCGAGCAGCATGGAGGGTGACTGGTCTTGGGACATGTTCTCAGCGAGCAGCATGGAGGGTGACTGGTCTTGGGACATGTTCTCAGCGAGCAGCATGGAGGGTGACTGGTCTTGGGACATGTTCTCAGCGAGCAGCATGGAGGGTGACTGGTCTTGGGACATGTTCTCAGCGAGCAGCATGGAGGGTGACTGGTCTTGGGACATGTTCTCAGCGAGCAGCATGGAGGGTGACTGGTCTTGGGACATGTTCTCAGCGAGCAGCATGGAGGGTGACTGGTCTTGGGACATGTTCTCAGCGAGCAGCATGGAGGGTGACTGGTCTTGGGACATGTTCTCAGCGAGCAGCATGGAGGGTGACTGGTCTTGGGACATGTTCTCAGCGAGCAGCATGGAGGGTGACTGGTCTTGGGACATGTTCTCAGCGAGCAGCATGGAGGGTGACTGGTCTTGGGACATGTTCTCAGCGAGCAGCATGGAGGGTGACTGGTCTTGGGACATGTTCTCAGCGAGCAGCATGGAGGGTGACTGGTCTTGGGACATGTTCTCAGCGAGCAGCATGGAGGGTGACTGGTCTTGGGACATGTTCTCAGCGAGCAGCATGGAGGGTGACTGGTCTTGGGACATGTTCTCAGCGAGCAGCATGGAGGGTGACTGGTCTTGGGACATGTTCTCAGCGAGCAGCATGGAGGGTGACTGGTCTTGGGACATGTTCTCAGCGAGCAGCATGGAGGGTGACTGGTCTTGGGACATGTTCTCAGCGAGCAGCATGGAGGGTGACTGGTCTTGGGACATGTTCTCAGCGAGCAGCATGGAGGGTGACTGGTCTTGGGACATGTTCTCAGCGAGCAGCATGGAGGGTGACTGGTCTTGGGACATGTTCTCAGCGAGCAGCATGGAGGGTGACTGGTCTTGGGACATGTTCTCAGCGAGCAGCATGGAGGGTGACTGGTCTTGGGACATGTTCTCAGCGAGCAGCATGGAGGGTGACTGGTCTTGGGACATGTTCTCAGCGAGCAGCATGGAGGGTGACTGGTCTTGGGACATGTTCTCAGCGAGCAGCATGGAGGGTGACTGGTCTTGGGACATGTTCTCAGCGAGCAGCATGGAGGGTGACTGGTCTTGGGACATGTTCTCAGCGAGCAGCATGGAGGGTGACTGGTCTTGGGACATGTTCTCAGCGAGCAGCATGGAGGGTGACTGGTCTTGGGACATGTTCTCAGCGAGCAGCATGGAGGGTGACTGGTCTTGGGACATGTTCTCAGCGAGCAGCATGGAGGGTGACTGGTCTTGGGACATGTTCTCAGCGAGCAGCATGGAGGGTGACTGGTCTTGGGACATGTTCTCAGCGAGCAGCATGGAGGGTGACTGGTCTTGGGACATGTTCTCAGCGAGCAGCATGGAGGGTGACTGGTCTTGGGACATGTTCTCAGCGAGCAGCATGGAGGGTGACTGGTCTTGGGACATGTTCTCAGCGAGCAGCATGGAGGGTGACTGGTCTTGGGACATGTTCTCAGCGAGCAGCATGGAGGGTGACTGGTCTTGGGACATGTTCTCAGCGAGCAGCATGGAGGGTGACTGGTCTTGGGACATGTTCTCAGCGAGCAGCATGGAGGGTGACTGGTCTTGGGACATGTTCTCAGCGAGCAGCATGGAGGGTGACTGGTCTTGGGACATGTTCTCAGCGAGCAGCATGGAGGGTGACTGGTCTTGGGACATGTTCTCAGCGAGCAGCATGGAGGGTGACTGGTCTTGGGACATGTTCTCAGCGAGCAGCATGGAGGGTGACTGGTCTTGGGACATGTTCTCAGCGAGCAGCATGGAGGGTGACTGGTCTTGGGACATGTTCTCAGCGAGCAGCATGGAGGGTGACTGGTCTTGGGACATGTTCTCAGCGAGCAGCATGGAGGGTGACTGGTCTTGGGACATGTTCTCAGCGAGCAGCATGGAGGGTGACTGGTCTTGGGACATGTTCTCAGCGAGCAGCATGGAGGGTGACTGGTCTTGGGACATGTTCTCAGCGAGCAGCATGGAGGGTGACTGGTCTTGGGACATGTTCTCAGCGAGCAGCATGGAGGGTGACTGGTCTTGGGACATGTTCTCAGCGAGCAGCATGGAGGGTGACTGGTCTTGGGACATGTTCTCAGCGAGCAGCATGGAGGGTGACTGGTCTTGGGACATGTTCTCAGCGAGCAGCATGGAGGGTGACTGGTCTTGGGACATGTTCTCAGCGAGCAGCATGGAGGGTGACTGGTCTTGGGACATGTTCTCAGCGAGCAGCATGGAGGGTGACTGGTCTTGGGACATGTTCTCAGCGAGCAGCATGGAGGGTGACTGGTCTTGGGACATGTTCTCAGCGAGCAGCATGGAGGGTGACTGGTCTTGGGACATGTTCTCAGCGAGCAGCATGGAGGGTGACTGGTCTTGGGACATGTTCTCAGCGAGCAGCATGGAGGGTGACTGGTCTTGGGACATGTTCTCAGCGAGCAGCATGGAGGGTGACTGGTCTTGGGACATGTTCTCAGCGAGCAGCATGGAGGGTGACTGGTCTTGGGACATGTTCTCAGCGAGCAGCATGGAGGGTGACTGGTCTTGGGACATGTTCTCAGCGAGCAGCATGGAGGGTGACTGGTCTTGGGACATGTTCTCAGCGAGCAGCATGGAGGGTGACTGGTCTTGGGACATGTTCTCAGCGAGCAGCATGGAGGGTGACTGGTCTTGGGACATGTTCTCAGCGAGCAGCATGGAGGGTGACTGGTCTTGGGACATGTTCTCAGCGAGCAGCATGGAGGGTGACTGGTCTTGGGACATGTTCTCAGCGAGCAGCATGGAGGGTGACTGGTCTTGGGACATGTTCTCAGCGAGCAGCATGGAGGGTGACTGGTCTTGGGACATGTTCTCAGCGAGCAGCATGGAGGGTGACTGGTCTTGGGACATGTTCTCAGCGAGCAGCA